TCAATTCCGGTCAAGGGCATGTACCTTGGTTGCAGGCACATCCTCAGTAGAGGGTGTGCAGGAGGCAGCCGATGGATGTTTCTCTCTCATCGATGTTTCTAACTCTCTATCCCTCTCCCTTACTCTCTGTAAAAAATCAATAAAAATATATTAAAAAAAAGAAAGAAAGAAAAGAAACATCAGTGATGAGAGAGAATCATGGATCAGCTGCCTCTTGCACACCCCCTACTGGGGATCGAGCCTGCAACCCAGACATGTGCCCTGACTGGGAATCGAACCTGGGACCTCTTGGTTCCTGGGCTGGGCAGAGATTTGCTTTAAAATATAACAGTGGCGGCACCGCGTGGAGCAGGAGAGGCAGAATCTAGACCAGTGATGGCAAACATATGACACGCGTGTCAGAGGTGACACGCAAACTCATTTTTTTGGTTCATTTTTCTTTGTTAAATGGCATTTAAATATATAAAATAAATATCAAAAATATAAGTCTTTGTTTTACTATGGTTGCAAATATCAAAACATTTCTATATGTGACACGGCACCAGAGTTAAGTTAGGGTTTTCAAAATGCTGACACGCCGAGCTCAAAAGGTTCGCCATCACTGGGCTAGAGCCTGGTGGTACCGGCCGAGGCTGGGAGCTGGGAGAGCGAAGGTACTGCTGGTGCCGCGGGTGCTCTGAGCCGTAACGCTGCTCAGCCGACCGGGAGCAACTTTCTCTGGACCTCCGCGTCCCTCTGAGAGCTGGACGTGCGCTGGTGGCTCTCAGAGCGGAGAGGGCCAGCCTCAGCCAGGCTAGGCAGCGCCGGAGCCCGCCCTTCCTCCCTACACCTGTCACGGCAGGTCGTCTGCGTGGGGGCGGCACCTGCTTTTCCTGAAGGTGGAACACAGCCTCCTGGAATCTGTGTCGTTGTTTTCCGGGAAGCCCGGCTCACTCGGGGCCCCGTCCCCATTGCTGGCACCTGAAGTGGACGGAGTGTAAAGAGGGTTCTCACGGCGGAGGCGTCAGCTCCCGGGTGTCCCCCGGCTGTTGCTCATTCTTGCATCAGCTCATTTGGTGGGAAAGCCTGGCACTTGGCCTCCCAGCCTCCGAGGCTCCGCCCCAAGGGTCTGGAATGTGTGTTCCGCTGTGAACACGTTCCAGCTTCGCCACTCACTGCCCACAGTGGGGGCATTTGCAAGTGTGAGCCGTTCTGTAAGTCAGTCGCAGGCGAGCAGGCCGGGACCAGGGGCCCCAGCACAGTCTGTCAGAAGCCGTGGAGCTGTCCCTTTAGAGACACAACTTACACAGAAGCGCAGGCCACCTCGCGCGAGAGGCCGGGGCTCTGTGACGCTGGCAACGAGCGAGGCCCCCCTTTAGAGACACAACTTACACAGAAGCGCAGGCCACCGCGCGGGAGAGGGCGGGGCTCTGTGACGCTGGCAAGGCCCTGGCTTCCGAGGGCTCCTCTGCAGGCTTTCAGCAAAAACCAGGCGGCCTGCAGGGGCCTCCAGGGTGGGTGCCAAGGGGTTGGCGCCTCACTGGCATCCCCGAGTTGCCTATTCTCAGCCTGGTGAAGTCCAGGTGGAGGGAGGGAAGGCGTTTAGGGACAGTTGGGCCTTCCTGAGGCCGAGAGAGGAGGGGCGGAGAGGAGGGGGCAGTCAGGCCACTCGCCTCTCGGTCAGTCCTCAGTGTCCGGCTGGGGGTCACCGCTGTCTGTTCCTCTGCAGGGACTGGTACAAGCGTAACTTTGCCATCACCTTCTTCATGGGCAGAGTGGCCCTGGAGAGGGTTTGGAACAAGCTGCGACCGAAGCAGAAGACCAGCAGCTAGGAGCCCGCCCGGCCACCCCCACCCGCGCGCCAGGCTTGGCGGGAAGCGGCTGGTTCTCAGAGCGTGTTCCCGGGATCTCACCGGAGCGTGTTCCCGGAATCTAACCGCCTGTCGGTGGCCGGGGTCCAGCCCTTCTCCCTGGGCCCCGGCTTATGGCAGTGCCAGGCAGCAGGAGGATGTGGCCCTGGTGCCCGGGGCCCGCGGCTCTGTCCCGCCCAGACTCCCGCTGGCTCTGGTCACAGAAGTGACGTTAAATAAAGCCCGAGCCCTGTGTGCCTGTGTGTTGCGTTTCGAATTCCTCCAATTTGGAGTAGAGAACAGCGCGGCAGGCCTTCCCGACTCCTCGGACGGGAGTGACTGGCAGCTGCTGCAGTGCCCCAGCCCTCAGGGACCAGGGACCAGGGACCACGCCGGGAAATGCAGCTGCCCTGCGCGGGGGCAGACGGGAAGCAGGGGCGGGTGCTCCGTCAGGGGCACCTGGGAGAGCTCCCCATGTGCTCCCGGGCGGTGCCGGAACGTGGTTAAACCCCACCCCCTTTTAAATCTTTTAAAGCCAGCACTGTGGGGGGGGGGTCACACCTGCAGGAGGGGACCCCTGCCTCGCCAGCCAGGCCACGTCCGTAAGCGAGCCACTTGGCAAACAGATGGCTTCTGTTGTTTTAATGTTTGTATTGATTTCAGAGAGGAAGGGAGAGGGAGAGGGAAACATCCATAAGAGAGAAACATCGACCCGCTGCCTCCTGCACGCCCCCTGCTGGCGTGGCTTCCGAGGGCTCCTCTGCAGGCTTTCAGCAAAAACCAGGCGGCCTGCAGGGGCCTCCAGGGTGGGTGCCAAGGGGTTGGCGCCTCACTGGCATCCCCGAGTTGCCTATTCTCAGCCTGGTGAAGTCCAGGTGGAGGGAGGGAAGGCGTTTAGGGACAGTTGGGCCTTCCTGAGGCCGAGAGAGGAGGGGCGGAGAGGAGGGGGCAGTCAGGCCACTCGCCTCTCGGTCAGTCCTCAGTGTCCGGCTGGGGGTCACCGCTGTCCGTTCCTCTGCAGGGACTGGTACAAGCGTAACTTTGCCATCACCTTCTTCATGGGCAGAGTGGCCCTGGAGAGGGTTTGGAACAAGCTGCGACCGAAGCAGAAGACCAGCAGCTAGGAGCCCGCCCGGCCACCCCCACCCGCGCGCCAGGCTTGGCGGGAAGCGGCTGGTTCTCAGAGCGTGTTCCCGGGATCTCACCGGAGCGTGTTCCCGGGATCTAACCGCCTGTCGGTGGCCGGGGTCCAGCCCTTCTCCCTGGGCCCCGGCTTATGGCAGTGCCAGGCAGCAGGAGGATGTGGCCCTGGTGCCCGGGGCCCGCGGCTCTGTCCCGCCCAGACTCCCGCTGGCTCTGGTCACAGAAGTGACGTTAAATAAAGCCCGAGCCCTGTGTGCCTGTGTGTTGCGTTTCGAATTCCTCCAATTTGGAGTAGAGAACAGCGCGGCAGGCCTTCCCGACTCCTCGGACGGGAGTGACTGGCAGCTGCTGCAGTGCCCCAGCCCTCAGGGACCAGGGACCAGGGACCACGCCGGGAAATGCAGCTGCCCTGCGCGGGGGCAGACGGGAAGCAGGGGCGGGTGCTCCGTCAGGGGCACCTGGGAGAGCTCCCCATGTGCTCCCGGGCGGTGCCGGAACGTGGTTAAACCCCACCCCCTTTTAAATCTTTTAAAGCCAGCACTGTGGGGGGGGGGTCACACCTGCAGGAGGGGACCCCTGCCTTGGCAGCCGGGCCACGTCAGTAAGCGAGCCACTTGGCAAACAGATGGCGTCTGTTGTTTGTATTGATTTCAGAGAGGAAGGGAGAGGGAGGGGGAAACATCCATAAGAGAGAAACATCGGCCCGCTGCCTCCTGCACGCCCCCTACTGGCGATGGAGCCTGAAGCCCGGCATGTGCCCTGACCGGGAATCGAACTGGTGACCTCCCGGCGTCTGGGACGGCACTCAGCCACTGAGCCACACGGCCAGGGCAGGGCTCCCTCCTTGGATTCTAAACATTTAAGATTAAATGACTAGGAGCCCTGCCCAGTTTGGCTCAGTGGATAGAGTGTCAGCCTGCGGACTCAAGGGTCCCAGGTTCGATTCCGGTCAAGGGCATGTACCTGGGTTGCGGGCACATCCCCAGTAGGGAGTGTGCAGGAGGCAGCTGATCGATGTTTCTCTCTCATCGGTGTTTCTGACTCTCTATTCCTCTCCCTTCCTCTCTGTAAAAAAATCAATAAAATATATTTAAAATTAAAAAAAATATGACTGGGAAATGTCACTTTAAGTTGCAAATAAAAGGAGAACAAATTGTAAGTAATGTTATTTTGACCCTGAAATGTGTATGCTCAGCCCGCCAGGCCAGGTGGTGTGAGGCGATTCCCTGTCACAGCCGTGGGCGGGGGGAGCATTTCTGGGGGCTACCTCAGGGGGGTACACCAGACACCAAAATGCGCGCTTTAGTGGGTGAATTGTATGTATGAATTACAGCTCAACAAAGCTGTTTAGCAAACAAGAGTGTTTTTGTGTTTGTGCATAAAAACTCATCTTTTTAACTTTAAAAATAAATAAAAGAGGCTTAATTTCTTATGTGCAAAAGAAAAGATAATGCTTCTGTTTCTGAATTAAAAAGTAAAATGAAGTTGAGTCTCTTCCTCCTGTGTGCTGGGGCGAGTGTGGGCACTGGTGTCTTAGCTGCTCTCATTCGCCTGCGGGGGACCCGGGGGGCCCTCAGGAGGGCAGGGGGGACCCGGGCCCCCTGCACCACTCTGACGCTGCTCTTCCCTTGTGGTGGTTTTTTTAAAATATATTTTTATTGGTTTCAGAGACGGGGGGGGGAGAGAGAAACATCAATAATGAGAGAGAATCATCGATCGGCTGCCTCCTGCACGCCCCTCATTGAGGATCGAGTCCACAACCCAGGCACGTGCCCTCACCCCCTTGACCAGGAATCGAACTGTGACCTGAAGGCTGCAGGAGCTGCCAGGGGCTACAGGCCTCTGCTGGTCACTCACCTTTCCTGGGAGGGGTCAGCCCCGGGTGGCCGGCAGGCCCCGCCCACTGGGAAGGAGAGGGGGAGTGGGTGTGGCGGGCACCTTGCTGGGAGGCATCCTTAGGAACCTGACCCCTGTGCAGGGCAGCCCCTCCCTCGGAGCGAGGTCACCTCAGCAGACATGCCAGGCCCAGAGGCCCAAGTGGAGAAGACGTGTGTGTGTGTGTGTGTGTGTGTGAAAGTGCACGTGAAGTCCACCGTTCTGCGTGTGCAGCTCCACGGCCCTGAGCGCGTTCACACTGTGCAGCCATCACCACCACCTCCAGACTGAACCGCTGACCCC